ACCCATTTTAGAAATCGAAAAATGATACTTTACTACTTTTATACTAGGTTCACAGTGGGCGAAATATACAATCGCCCGAGAATAAAAAATAACCTAACGACGGTTAAAGATTCAGCATTTTCATCAGTATCCACGAAATGGAATCGAGGAAGATGTAACTTTGACCTTATATTTCTGATTCTTTAATATACGCCAGACACTTTGTTTAGAAATACCTATTTCATCAGATATGGTTTTTAATGACATTGTTGGGTCATTGGAAACCAAGCCTAGAACACTTATTTTTATGTTTTCATCATCAACAGTTGCAGAGTTTCGTCCCGTATTTTTTTTTGTCTTGAACACTACCAGTTTCACGAAACTTGTCAACAAAATGTTTGACGTACGATTTTTAAACATTTTTGTCTATTATAGAAAAAATTAATAAAATATTAATAGAAATTACAGTAACTATTAAATACATTCCTTAGCTTATTTTAAATAAATAAATGTGTATAATTTAATTTTTACCTGGATGCAAAACTGTACTTAAACTGTCTTGCAGTTTCGGTGAGACATTTATTGGTCGAACCAGACAAAAAAATTATCTCCACACGCTCTTCAATCGAATACATTATTATAGGTACTTATTCATTTAAAAACAACTTACACAATAAAATATCATATTGAACTAAAATTCTGAATAGGTACTAATGAAAAGCTCAATTTAATTAAAACTTATACTGATTTGTACAACAAGTTGACAATAATAAAAATAAGTGAGTTAACAAAAGTCTTTAAATAATTATGATTTAAAATAAACCATTAATTGCAAGATATTTACATAAATAGTCGATATTAATATACCTAATATTTAGGTACGAACCTTTAATTGAGTTAATTACAAATTTCCAATATTATTATAATAATCAAATACCATTATTCCCTTAACCATCTAATTATAAGTATTTAAATTTAGTTAGCAAAGTAACTGTAATCAATTAATTATGATTATAAAAATAATTATTACAACAATAGTACCTATACCTACTACTTATTTTATGATTGTATGATATTCTAAATTAACTATTAAAAGTACTAAATAAAATGTTGCGTTTGTAAATATCCAAAACTAAAAAGGATGGAAAGGGATGAATTACAACTCCTAAGTTCATACTTTGGATGCAATACCATTATAGGGAATCTATGGTTAAAATATCAAGTTTATACTTTATACCACTACGAAAAGAGCACTACAAAACATTGCACTTTTTTCGTTGCACATATTAATGTCAACAATCGAATACCATTTACCAATTTACCATTATTACCTTAGCCACCTACCTAATTAAGAATTCAAATTTATGATATTTTAAGAAAAGTAACTGTAATGAAAATAATGTAAGGCAATTAATTACGATTATAATAATAAATTAAAATAATAATATTGATTTTTATGATCGTATTTTTATGATCGTTTGTATCGTTTGTTATTTTTTTTTTTTTTTTTGAGTGTGTCATTTGATTACCGATTCAACTATTTTAGTGTATCAAATGGTAGTTATAAGAAAAAATTGTTTGGCGCTTGTATTAAACCTATACCCATTATTTCAATTAAAAGTATTAATGCATATTTTACTAATCTTTGGAGGACCATAGTTAATAAACTAGAGAACCAAAATTGACGATTCGACTTTCAAAATGTTCAGAAAAAAAAGCTTTACCAGAATCCATTAAAAAATATAGTAGTTAAAATTTGGAAAAAAAATAGTTGATTTTGCTATTGGTACACCTGCGACCTGCGTGTTTAAAAATTTTGAAATTGTTATAAAAAAATTGCTTGTTAAAAATAAAGAAACACAAATGACATAAGATACACCCTGTATAATATCTTCTTTACATCATGATCCGGAATTAAATATTGATAATAACTAATCAGGTATGAAATTAGGATGACCATGTAGTGATGAGTTTATGAAATGGGTGCGTGGGACCCGGAGTCATGAGCACTCAGTCACTCATGATGTCGGCCATCAGAAGGTCGATGTAGGTGATCGTCCGTTATACTGAGTTTGATGCACCTACAGTGCACCCGTCCACACCGTATCACTTGAATAAATGTTTTGTTAATATAAAATAATATTATTATAGTGCGACCAACATACTACATTATTTTTCAAAAACTTAATAGTTTCCGAAGTTCAACGATGTCCAATCTTACCTTTATTAATTGTCTTAACCAGGTTTCAACTATTGTTTATTAACAATTCTGTAAAGAAAAATTTTATATTTTTGTAAAAGCAGTAATAATGTGAATACCAAATAAGTGTTTTCATAATTTGAACGAAAAAATGATGAATATAAACTATCAATATTTAAAAAATGCGAAACCACCACCGATTTTTTTTTCTATTACCTACGGCCTTGTACCTACACATATTTTAAATTATGGTTGTGTCCAAGCATGTTGGAAAGTAACAAGTAGCTCAAGTGTAGACGTCTGATGCCAATTTCCCGACTCCGGGCAGTGAAAGTGAGCACCACGACTATAGTTGTATATCTGTTACGATCCAGGTGGATAAATTGTTATTGTAAACACTGCCGGACAACGTTTACAATGTCCGAGTTATTCAAGTGGAATAATTCACATTAAATAGTTCACATTTTAAACAACGGCCAGTACTACAGGTGCCAATTGAACAGTTATTATGATGGATAATATATTATTATTATAATTATTTTTGAGACAGCAGTTATTTTTTTTTTATATTTTAATATGAATATTTATTTTGTACCTAGCATCCATGAAGGAATATTAATAAATATAAATAATTTCATATATAAAAAAAACAGCCAAGTGTGAGTGAAATATGTCTAGCCCCAACAATGTGTCAAACACTAAAAGGTGAATAATTTTTAATTAAAAAAAAAATGAAAATTTGGTATTGTTTACTATGAATGATAACTTACTGTAAATATTTAAGCGAATCTATCTGTTGGTTAGCAGATGGAACATTCAAAGCTTGACAGCAAATTTTTGAACAAATATATGTTATTCACGGATCAATTAAACGTGGAACCGATGAAATGTTTGTACCGTCAGTATTTGCTCTGATGAATGGTAAAAGTGAAGAGCTATATACTCAAGTATTTTGTTTATTAAATTAATTTGTTATCGAAAAAAATATTAATATTACACAAACTAATGGCTTGAAAATAATAACAGACTTTGAAAAAGCGGCCATAAATTTTTTAACTGAAAATTTTCCCCAAGCAACCCATTCAACATGATTTTTCCATTTATGCCAGAGTATTTATAGACAACATTCAAAATATTGGGTCATGCTAATGATCCTGAGTTTAATCTTCTTGCTAGACATTTACCTGCGATGGCCTTTTTATCAGTTGATTGGGGTTGTATTATAATATTATTGTAATTTGTTTTGATTTTATTTTATAGTATTGTATTTTTTTCTATATCTTTACATTTTATATTTGAGGTTCAGGAAGGTTGGGTCATAATCAGACCATTATTTGGGAGCAACGAAGAAGAACAAAGTCTATTAATGTATTTTGAACATTCATATATAATGGGTGGACAAGTTAAGAAAACAAGAGGAAGACAAAGAAGAGAACCAGTTTACATTCCTCCACTTTTTCATCCAGAATTATGGTCTGTAGCTGATAGGTTATCATCAAGATTGGCCAGGACAACAAATACGGCAGAATCCTGGCATAGACAATTAAATAGATTAATATCGCCACATCTTAGTTTGTCTGAAATCGATATTATTATTTATCATTCTTTAAATTATTAATTTCATTATTGCAAACCGTAGGACTACATAAATTAATCAAAACCTTACAATCTACTCAGAACGAAACTGAAGCAGTAATTGAGATGTTACTTTATGGACGCAATAATAAAAAAATGAAAATTCAAGTACAACCCAACATTTACGCACATGTGAAGTGCAACAAAGACTCTTAACTGATCCAGGTTATGATTTATTAGAGAATTTAAAAGGAATAGCTCAAAATTTAAAATTTAAATTCCTTACTATATTATATTATTTATACTAATACTTATAACTTAAAAGTTATACTAGTATCTATAGTCTATACCTAAAAATAATTTTAATATTTTATTGCAACTTTTTTTTTACGTTATAATACCTACTTCAATTAATTTCATATTATAATATATGTTTTTTTTTTTAAAAATAATTAACAGGAAATGTATATTTTTCGACCATAATATATTTCGATTACATAATATTTCGATCATTTGCATTTTTGATATAATATTTGTCGATGAATATGGTCGACCAGATACCTTTTCGATCACTAGACTTTCGGCCAGACAACCCCCACCCCACGTAAACGGCAGTATGTGTTCTGTCGGCTAAGACAAATATGACTTCATAGCGTCCCAACTCCCAAGATAATAATAATTGCGATATTAATATTGTTCGTTATAATTGATGGACGATGAATGGCCATGGGGCGTTGTTGAAAATGCCCACAAATTCCCGATTATCGACTAAGGACATTACTGATAAAAGTTATCGTAACCCGTAGGACGTAGTATATAAGTGAAATTATAAAATATAATACTTTAAAATACCTCTAATACTCATATTGCCCACCCCAGTTTTAGCATTGTATACAATGACTAGTCTATATGGGAATTGTATAAGCATTATTTACTTTACAAAAATACCATAGCATTGTATTACAATGATTGATTTGTCCACCTGGACCGTAACATATCTACTAGCTAGTACCTATATGAACATCAAGAACATTGAAACGAGATAACGATACGTACGAGATAATGTGATATGATCGGCACAATTTCGAAGATAACTTCAAGCAAGTAAATAATCTAAGAAAGGCCTGGTTACAACTTTTATTTTAAATAAATTGTCTGTTCATTCTGTATACATGATAGATAATATTCTTTTTCAAATTTGATATCATATTATTTTGTATTTTAAATTTCCTTACTAACAGTCACGATGTTTGAAAGATTTGTAGATGATTTGAAACGCACGAATAAACGAAAAGTAATGGAAAACAATTATGTTTATTATTATTATTATTATTATTATTATTGTTATTATTATTTTCACAATACAGCATAGCTTTTTCAATATTGTTTGTTACCTATATTATTTATTTTAAATACCTCATGATTTTAGGTTCTCTATAGAGTATTGTTTTTTGGAATGATGATTTCAGTTACATCAATGATATGGAGTGGTTTGAAGGTTTTTACTGGTAGCGAGAGTCCAATTATTGTTATTTCAAGGTAAAATAGACATACATTTTTCAAACATTTTTATTATGTATTATCTTAAAAAATAGTTACTTTATTGAAGATTTTAAATATTGTTAGTTATTTCTCGTTTTCAGCCACATGAATTTAAAAACCTCGTGTTTAAACATAATTAATATTTTACAGTGGTAGTATGGAACCAGCCTTTCATCGAGGTGATATATTGTTCCTAACAAACTATGAAGAAGAACCACTCAGAGTTGGTGAAATAGTCGTATTTAAAATTGAAGGACGTTATACTCCTATTATGCACAGGGTTTTAAAACTACATGAGAAGTTGGTTTGATTTAAAAATTATTATTTAAAAATATATTGCTATATCAATTTTTTTTTCTAGAAGAGATGGCACAATTAAATTTTTGACCAAAGGTGACAACAATAGTGAAGATGATAGAGTATTGTATGCTCCTGGCCAACAGTGGCTAGAAAAATCAGATATAATAGGCAAAGCTAGAGGATTTGTACCATATATTGGAATGCTTAAAATGTTAACGCAAGAGTATCCTATAGTCAAAGTATGTATTGGGTTTTATTTTATTAAAATTAATTGCAAATTTAATAATTTTTTATCAATTCCAGTAAACAATGATTGAGTTCATAATTTTCTATGTGATCTTATTGTTAAAAAAAAACTAATAAAGTTCTTTACTATATAATAGGTTTTGAGTATACCTCGTTATTAAGTAAATCACCGTAGTGGATTTGTTAAATTTGAATTTATGATAAATTATTGAAAACCAATTCTGAGCAGAATATTTTATATCTAATTTTATAATTAATTATTTTAATATAGTAGGTTAAATTAATTTTTGCCAATAGATTAGCACATATTATTAACTTATATGTCATAAATGAATAATGATGGACCTACTGAGTAATGGTATGAATAAGTAAATAAATATGTAAATAGCTTAAAATTAGATTAATTATTTTTAAAATGTAATTTCAAATAGAAAATAGTAATATATGTTATTACTAAAGGTTTCAAATGACTACATTCAATTATTATTGAATGACAATAAAATTACTTAAATTGTTGGAGAAAATGTTGTTTCTTTTTATTCAAATAAATAATCTTGTCAACATTTCAAATGTCTAAAAAAAAATTGTGCCCATTTACTTTTGATATTATTAGAATGCTGTAAGAACAACTTATGAGAAAAATTGTATTCAATTTCAAGCCTTAGCTAATAAAATAATCTGCACACTTATATGAGTTCTTAAGTGCTAAAAAAATTTTCTAAATTGTATCATGTTTAGAAAATGTTAATATGAATATTTTAACAAAATTTAATTTTGTCAAATATGGTATTGAGAATCTAGTAAATTACCAAATGTTTTGGTCATTTTTTAATCATCTTGAAAATCTATAATCATATGAAAAATATTGGATTTTGTTATTGGTAAATCAAATAATTATAGTCCATTCTTTGAGAGAACGCTACTTAGCCATGCATCCAAGTGATCTAATTTCACCCACTAAGTAGACCTCTGTGAACCATCACACACTATCGTAAACCATCGCTTGACGACTTGACGGCTGATTGCCCGATGGTGAGAGATGTGCAGACTACGAAGAGTTTTGATCGCCGCTCACTGGCGTTCTCTCTGTGACCAGACTAGAAGTATTTCTTACAAAATTGATCACTATATTATAATCCTCGATTAAAGATAGTTATAATATAGACATATTATAAAAATTAATTAATGCACATTATTGTTTATTTATTATTTAACATAATATATAATTTATATATCACTTAAATTAAGCTTTTTTTTCAGTTTGCTATTTTAGTATACATTGGGCTAAATGTACTTGTTCATCGTGAATAAAACTTAAATCAATTTGAGCAGAGCCGAAGAAAATTTGGAATTTGTAACTTGTTAATTTAAATTTGTGTGATGTGTGTTGAATGTTGATTGAGGGCTGTAATGCTTTTTTATTCTTAAATATTTTGTGTTCTTCAATTATTAAAAGCAAATTATGAATTTTTTTTCAATCAAGCCAAATTTAAAAAAACTATTCCTCAAGCCATAAGTACTACTGTTGGGTAGTTCCTTAAAATCATGTTAACTCACATTAAAATCACATAAACATCGCATATATGCCTATTGTAAATAACCTTACAGATTGTATATTTTCTAAATAAATGTTAAAAAAAAAAAAAAATGAATTTTGAAATATATTATTATTTAAATTTCACATACATTTCAAATATTAAAATTAAAATAATTTTTTGTTGTACATAATTATTTTTATAAATTGCAATTCATTATTAGGAAACATTAAATATTTTTAAATTTTATACTACTATGTTAATTTGTATAATTTTACTATAATATTAATATTGAATTATAATCATCATAAACATTTTAAAAATGGTCCTCTAGTAGTTCAAAATAGATTAGTCAAAATTAATAATAAATACTACATGTATTATAATAATAAGTAATATAAATATTGTATTTTTTAGCTATTTTAATTTTCTATCACTGTACATTATTTATTTCATAAAAATTATTGTTATTTGATGCATTCAACTCTAAAAAATTAATTTTATCAATGACTTACAAAGTTGTTATTCATAAATTTGTAGCTATATATTTTCCTACCTTATGTTTTTAATTAATAAATTGTTAATGTTTGATCATTTATTTTTATTATTGAAATTGTTTTTATTTAATTTATTTTTGATTAGTATTGTCTTGTTAGTTGAAAACCCTTAGTATTAAATACTACTAGATGATAGATAACTAACCAAATGATTATGCTGTGTAAATTATAAGCTAATTATTTAACACTGAAAGGCTTAGAGGAAGTGTAGTAAACTGCAGTTTTCCTATAGAGTAGAAATAAGGTTAGTGACCATTCTCAATTTAGCAAGAAAATGGGAACAACATGTTTAATAACTCGTATGAATAGAAATTAATCTTTCATCACTGTATTTTGTTTAATTTCCTCATTAGTCTGTTTGGATTTAGATTTATTATTATCATTGTTAGATTATTATACATGATCACTTAACACAAATTATACATTTTTCCGATTCTAAAAATGTAATACACAATTTTAAATTTGGCTTTACCTGAACTCTTTGTGGTTATTAGTCATCATAAATACTTATAATGTTCTTATATTTGTATTTATGTGTTTTTTTATATTTTTAACAGAAATTTATAAAATTTATAAAAATATATTGTTAGTGGTAATTTAAAAATGTTTAAAATATAGTCACAATTTTATTTATGAGCATTTATTAGTTTCAATGGAGCTAATATTAAAAAATAAGAAATGATAAGTAACTTAGGTGCTAAACAAATAAAGAGAGATTGACATAATATAGATTATAGGTGAATAAATAGGGTACATAAGCCACAATGGTTGTGGCATAGACTGTAATAAAAATAACTAAAAAGATTTATATTATCTATTATTTATACCTAATATTATGAACAAATTTTCTTAAAATTTAACAACTTAAATACATACATTTTCAAAAACATTGAACATCAATACAAATTTATAAAAATTAAACTTTAGATAGTAAAAATATTTTACACATATAATTCTATATAATATACATAAGTAAATGTACTTAGAGGGATTGCAAACAGACAATTTTTCAGAGTTCAATACTGCCATTTTTTTTATGTGTGTGCATGAGGGTCTTGTAAATGTGTGTGTATAGTAATCATTAATGTATGTCACTATAATATAAAATTAATAACAGAGCGTTCCAGCAAGCATACATACAAGTCACTAACTTAGTGAACAATAACGGATATATTATGGTCATATGTATGTACTTTTTGTCAATCCTACCGATAGAAGTCTTCAAACTGATCAGAATTCGTTAATATGTCTAGTTGAGATCAAATAGGCTGCATTTAAGATTTGCTTTTTAATTCAAATTTTGAATAGTCAACATTCAAAATTCCAAGAGTATAATCGCATGACAATGCTTATCGGTATGATTGACAAAAGATTTAAATAAATTAGTGTTTGCAAACCTCTCACTTGTTTTCCAACAATGACATTTACACATCTCTATGATCTTTCTTATCTTTCGGCAATGAACTGTTTGCCAATAAGAGTTCATTCATACGATTAAACTGATTGTTGAGGGATTCAATTATCTCAGTCCAAGATTCTAACAATTCGTCTGGGTTTTGGACTGTGTACAAAAAGTTATCATTATAACAAATTATAGAAAATGAAATAGCACAAAAATGAGACTTACTTTTGAATGTTATAAAACCTGTTTTCTGATTAATTGAACCTCTTATGCGTCCTTCGGATATCATTCTTCCTACCATTAATTCGGCTTTAGATGGTTCTAATCCCAACAAGTGGCCAAGTGACTCAATTTTGATATTTTCATAAAGTCTTTCGATTGATTGAATATTATGTTGCGCTATAGCTTCAACCAATATAGATGTGCCTACAAAATGTTTAAATATTATATAAATGCATTTAATATGTGCTACTGTAAAAAATTACCATAATTTGTTTTGGCCTTTTGATGTGGCAACAACAATTTTGCTATCTCATCAATTTCATGAGATTTAATAATTCGAACTGAACACAATTTTTCAAGAATTGATGTTCTTATTAATACTTTACATCTTTCATCATCAGACAATGATCTCAACAACTGAGTTCGCATGTCACCTGTGTTAGATCATAGATAAAAAAAATTGTAGGACATTAACTGGTTTAGAGACATATAATACAGTATACTATAATACAGAATGTTATAAAACCATTGTTAAAATATAAATGTTAAAAAAAAGACTATTTGCCAAGAGCACCAAACAATATTGCATTTTTTTTTCGTTACACAATTTTTTTAACATCCATACGTAAGACATATTAATGTCAACAATCGGTTATAATATTATGATCCAAATAAACACTTAATATTTTCAAAGGTTCGAAACACAAAGGAACTCTAGCCAAATAGGTATGTGCAGAATGCCAAAAATAAAATATTAATATATATATATATATATATGTATATACATATTGTATTCCAAGTGACATCGCAGTTACAGTCTTAAGTCCAAATTGACCAACAAATAATGAATAATTACCAGAAAAAAGAAACTACAACACATGTATACAAAAATCTAATCAAAAAACTGATGAACAACATTTATTATCAGTTATCACATACAAATTAACACGGATGTCTACCTAAAGCTGATTAAAGGTTAAATATCACTCGCATAATTCAACAAAATTAAATATTAGAAATATGATAACTCATTATAGTGTAATATCACTGTCAATATATTATAATGTCATAAACTCATAATATATTTCCAAATCTAAGATAAATAAACCATAAGCTACATAAAATTCACACTCACTGAGTGATATTACAAATCATAATGAAATAAATAGTAACAGTAGTATTGAAAATAACAATAATACAACATTTGAATGGATGCCAGAACACTTTAAGAGTGGATCAGCTTGCTAAATATAAGAAATAAACTTTGATGAAATATATTAATGGGGTGTAAAATGAAATAAAAGTATCAATAAATTTATTTATAGGTAGTGCATTTTAAATAAAATTGATAATAACATCTAATGAAACAAATTAAGACAAATTTAAAATACTACAAAAATGGCACAATAGACCACACACATTGCACCTATGGGCTCTCATTAAAAAAAATACTATATTTTTTAGATAAGACAATTCCTTGTGGAACTAAACGTATAATATGTTTACAGAATGCAAAACATCTCAAGATACAAGACAACATTTATTCATCTTAAACACCTATATCAATCATTGAGACCTGACAAATCAAATAAATCAATTAATTATAATTTTTTGAAAAAAATTAATTTGTATTATTAAAAAACACAATTAGCCATTAGGTATTTACTAATAAATATATTTTGAACTGTCTCATATTATTTATAATAAAAAATGTTTTTATAACACTTTTACCAGATTTTATCAATATTATCTTTTATATCTTACCGGCAAATGATAATATCGTACAGACAAGTGTATTCTTCAATGCCATCAAACATTCATCTACTTTTAATGATGGGCAGTTTGACAATTCATGATATTCTTGTGCAGCCTCAATAAATTTTAAATGGTAATCCAACATTCGTGCATAACAAATTTTATAAGTTAATTGAAGATCATTGTTTGATGTTAAAAACTGAAAATAATATTTTTATTAGGCCATCTCTGTATATGCGTTTTACTAATACAGCATTTTATGCAAAAATTAAGAAATGATAATAGAATTAGTATAGTGCTCAGTCTATCGATATAACTGTAATAATATTAAGGGTACATTCGACAATGGGCACTTATTTACTTTCAGTGCTCACGCTTATTGTATTCGAGTTGGGCTGTTCGTTTAAACATAAACGCTCACAGGTAGGCATCTACATGTACATGAATATTGATGACATGAGCGTTGCAACGTTAACACTATGCCAGTAATCAGAGTTTATATTTTATTTAAATATTTTTTATTTTTGTTTAAAATTGTACAATGTAATTAAATTAAATAACAAATATAAATTATTTTAAGATGAAAGTTTGAAACTAGTTGTAAAACGGTTTACAGTTATTGTGATATCTCTTATAATATTAGATTTGAGTGTTCACTTTGGGAAATAGCACTCACACTTTAACTGTTCTAGTCTGATGGAGTAAGAGACCGTGAGCGTTAACTCATGACTTAACATCTATTTACTGTGACGTCCTGATTGTACTCTGAGCATTTCAATGCACCAAGACAAACGATGTGGTAGCGCTTATAGGCGCTTAAATGCACCATGTTGAATGCATCCTTCATATTATCATAGAACGTTACGATGATCTAATTTGTAGTTTTAACAATTATTTTAAGACTTTGTTCCATCAAATAAATATGGATTGACTAAAATAATTTTTGTTTAAAAAAATTATTAATATGTTTAGTTTACAGTTGTACCGTTCTATTATACCAAATGGGCATTATAATTTAATTGTACTTTTATTGAATATACGCCATACGTGCAACACTGAAGCTTTTTTGACGTAAGGATCTGCTAGCAATGGATCATCATCTTTCATGTAAAGTTGTGAAATTTTCAAGTATAATTCCAATTCATAATCAACAGAAAATCTTTAAAAACATTTTAAACTTGTAATAGATAGTTTAACAATATATAATATATAGGTACTATGATAAATCAATATGAAAAACTTAATGTATATACACCTGTAATACGATTCTGCTGGGATGCTGGCTAGAAAATTGGCTGCTTCCTTCCAATTTTCCTCTTTCTCGTAAATGTACGATAAATGGTAACAGATAATGGACATATGATATTCAAAATAAACCTCCCTCGGTTGCATCTAAAATAAAACTAAATGATAAATAATTTTGTTTACAACATATAGGTACCATCAGTATAGCAATGTTCTAATTACTTCTTCCAGCATGAATTGAGCCAATAGTTTATACTGTGAATCCGGCAATACGGGTGAGATCCGCATACAGAAATCGGAGAACATCTGACGAGATACGAACAGGTTGACGTTATCCTGAACAACTGAAATTGAATGCATAAAATAGTGGTGTTTCTAAGATAAAAAGTAAATACAATGGTTGGCTAGGCTCGGATATTTGGTTAGATGTGTGTTGGCACATATCTACTAATATACCTACATAGACTGTAATATGTAAATCACTTACGGAATTTGACGACTTCTTTCAACATTTCCAACACATTGGTGGAGCATGTTGAAATAACGTTATTCAACAGAATCCTACACCTGTAATGGTCGATCGAAAATATTATTGTTATTGTTGTTATTATTATAATTATTATTATTATTATTATTATTATTATCGACATTGGTCGGGGTATATCCGTGGAGGACATGACGATTTTAACGAGTAATCGTCAAATTCCCTCCCAATACCCACTTATGAAAAATATTAACTCACTTCGTAATTCTTTGAATTTCAGATGAACTCGAGTCAAAGATGCGATCCAACTCGTTGCGGACTTCCTCGACGGAGAAGGTCATGATTTATCTGACCAAGTGCAACTGTGCAAGGTGCAATATTGAAATAAAAGAAAATAATGCGGCTTGCGAGATACGGCTGATATGAGATATGGACAATGGACGAGTGGACAACGACTGCGATTTTACGCGGCACCCAGTGACCACTTGTTGTGTGTAGGCGTGGTGGGGATGAGTGGCGCTGGTGTGTTTGTTTTGTGTTTTTGGCGGAAAACTTGGCCACGGTCAATCTATAAACCTTGGGCAACGGTGACGACGGCCGGAGTAGAGATTAGAGACGTCCGTACCTACTGTGAACAGCTGGTTAATGGCGAAGTCGACTTAAGAATAAACTAATTTGACGAACCGATTCAAAATATTACACAAACGGATAGAACGATCGTTCGACTGTAGCCGTGTGACTCTGAGACTGCGAGTGTGGCAGTGTGCGGCCGGCAACGGGAAATCGGAATTGCAACACCTGACCTGGCCTATAGACGAATGGTTGACCCGTACCGGCGATGATAAACATTTAATAATATAATAAGTATCTCTATATGTTATAATGACGTTATTTTATCATGGCCCTTCTGTGCGATACGCCAGTCTCTACACAGATGTTATACCGCAGTACTCATATCGTAAAATATTATTATATTATATTAAACACATGTTATACTTACATATTACCTATACTTATCAACAGCGGTGTCCGACTGGTCAAAGGCTAAGGACAGACAGACCGATCAGAGCAAGCTGCGCTCTTATCTGAGTACCTACACCGACCACCGACGAAGTTCATCTGGTACGCAGCTGCCGGATCGCGTTCTGTTTTTCCATTGACGTAATATTTAATAAATAATAACATATTATTTCGGGACTGTGAATTTGTAGAAAAATACAATATTACTTCTGGCTTAGGTAGGTAATGTAAAACGAGGCTTCGTTGACCAAAAGATTAGGAAAATTAGGCCCTACTGTTCTTAGTGAATTCAATTTTGAAAGTTTTATACCTCTATTTAATCGTTTTTTATTAAATTTTATTAAATTTTTTTTATTCATTAGGTAATGTGTTTTTTATGGCGTTGTAGAACATTTTTTAAATACCTACCTATTTTTAATTATTTCCGACAATTAACACTACTTGTACACACGTTTTAAGAATTATTATTTAATTTAATAATAATTTTTATTAAGATTTCATAATATACCTAATGATAATAGCTTAAATAGTTAAATGTATACCTACTCTATTCCCCGGAAGCTTACCCACATTTTATTTTTGCGCACGCAGAGTATGGTGAAAATGTTGTGACAATACAGCTCAATATACTTATATACGTATACACCGGGGTATTTTTAGTAGAACTATAGTGAACTGTATTGTCACAACGTTTTCACCATACTCTGCGTTGCGCAAAAATAAAGAGAGTAAACTTACGGGGAATAGAGTATAGTGTAGTACCTACTATTTATGTAGTTCCTATCTCGAATAGGACACGGCTGAAATAGGTACCTATCAATATTAACTCGTAGGTATCTAAATTTTTACAAAAATTATTGTTCAGAAGATATTAAATAAAACAATGGATAATAATATGTAATACCACTGGCTTAGCCATGGGAGGGGCTAAGGGGGCTGCAGACCCACCCCAAATGTTAAGAAAATTAAAAAATTATTTTAATGGTCTATGATAGTCGCTCAAAAAGTCTTAAATTGTATTTAAAATATTTAAAAATGAACTATGTGTATTAACACTGTTCAGCTATCTATCTGTGCAAGTACATATTTAATCTGTAAAAGTGTTAAAGTTGATCAGCCCCCCCCCTGAAAATAAATAATAACTACGCCACTGTGTAATACTATATTATAATTAATTTTTTCAATAAAAATACTTGAATAGGTATTAAATTAAAAAAAATATATTTTAGCAAAATGGTAGATACCTATAGAACCTACCTATATAATACCTAACATATTACAAAAATAAATATATTTTCGAATAAGGTACGACATTTTTGCTATTTTATTTTGAGATAAAAGGTTCTTTTACTCATCAAAAAATAGCTACAGCTTGATTGCGCTTAATGTAATGCAAGGTTCTTCATAATTTGTTATTACTGAAAGAATAATATAAATATAGTAGACTGTAATCTGTAGTCTATAATAATTATATTCTATATTAATTATATAATTGTTAGGTTTTGTAGTTTAAATTTTTATGAAATTGAATATTTACGTAAGTTTTTCTTATTTTATTTTAATATTATAAAACGAATTAAAAACATGGCCCCTGTTATGTTTTTACAATTGTAGTTGAAAAATATTAACAATACATATTCATCAAGCACAATTTTTTTTATAAGCATTTAAAGTTCGAATTTTGACAACATTTAAGTATCAAATTTAAAATTTAAAAACGATTTTGTAGTTTAAAATTATCGATTTTTTAACATTTATAGCTAAGGATTGAAAAGTTAAAACAATATTCCACGTAAGTATTTCCGTCCAAATTTGAACATAAATAAAATAAAATAAACTGTGTTTTGTATAACTTTATAGGTACTAGTAGTTAAATAATACCATTCCTGGCGCAGCACCTTTAAGGTGCACCTTTAATAATAATATATCAGTAAAAGATCACAAAGAAAACAATGTACAAAAAGATCAGAAAATCGAAAATGCAATAATAATAAAAATATTTTTCGCAAAACTTAATTATTAAAAATAAAAATTGAAATGCAATTATAATAAAAACATTTTTTGCAAAACTTATTAAATGCAAAAACCCCCAAAATATTTTTCATAATACTTATGATATTAATAATTAAAATCAAAATGAAATATAGTGTATTAAAAAATATTTTAAAAGAAATTGAATACCTTAGTTAAAGGAATTGATATTTATAATAAAAGAATGGAAACTATAAAAAATTATAATAAGTTACAAGAAATTAAAATGCAAAATGAAGTAGAAAACTATATATTAAATAAAAAAAAAGGTGGGTAAGTGGATGTCGCTCTGCTGTACTGTAGGTTACAAGTGGGTCACTGTATAATGGATGCTATTAAATTTGAATTCAATGATACAATATATCATTGTATAAGAAAAACGATTCTGAGCGAAGACGGTATGTCAGTCTAGGTTTAAGACAAATTATATACATATCTATGGTATTAAAAAAAAAATTGACCTATAATAAATTCCAAATTAATCATATCACATTATCACAATATCCATTAGGTACTTATAACACGTTATACATCAACATCAATAACAAACCCTTATACTATCATAGATATATAATAGTACACTTTAGAAGTTTCAAGTAGGTACCCACGAATAATATTATATAATCACAACAAAATAACTAGGTTTTTTAATATGTAATTTCGTCCAAATTTGAACATAAAATGACTATAAAAATAAACTGTGATTGTATATTTTTTAGATTTTTTGGTAAGAGAATTAAATACTTACGTGGAATCTTGTTTTAAATTTTCAATCCTTAGCTATAAAAACTGAACATTTTATAATTTATTAATTACGATGATTAATAATTTTCGAGATTTTGAAAAATTCTGTCAAAATTCGATGTTTAAATGCTTATAAAAAAAAACTGTGCCTATGTATTTTTAATATTTTTCAACTGATATTGTAACAATATATCAGAAGCCTTGTATTACATTTTTACACTTTTTGGCCCAACAGATAAAACTTTATTGATATTCATAGAAAAAAAAACTAAAAAAATTGAAAAATGAAAATACCCGTAAACAGCTCAAAAAGAGTCAAAATATTTTCAAAATTGTATGGTGTATAGGAAATGCTAATATAAACATTCAGTGAAATTTTCATGTATCTATAGTTATTCGTTTATGAATAACAACAAAATAAGGAAATCGCTACATGAGAAATCGAGTGAAAATCCAATGTTGTAAAAATTTGAATTTCAAACGCTTATAAAAATTTAATTTGACTGTCCGGTAGAGATTTTTTTATTGATAAAGGTAGACAAACTTATGAGTAATCTTGTATTACATTTTCAAATCTTAGATTTAAAAAGAAAAATTTTTACGAATTCTTAACTAAAAATAATTAGCTAATTTTCGTGATTTTTCCATATTTTGTCAATTTTTGAACTTTAAATGCTTATAAAAAAAAACTGTGACCAACGATTTTTAATATTTTTCATCTGCCTTTGAAACAATATACTAGGAGTCTTCTATTAAATTTTCAAGCTTTCGCAACAAACAAATAAAGTTTTATTGATATTTCTAGAAAAAAAACTAAAAAAAAATGAAAAATGAAAATGTCCCTAAACAGTTCAAAATAAATCAAAATATTTTGAAAATGTTATCGTGTATAGAAAATGCAAATATAAACAACCAGTGAAAATTTCATGTATCTACGGCCATTTGTTTAAAAGTTACACCAAAAACCAAATTCGATTTTGTCAAAAACCGATTTTGCGTAAAAATTCCCGTTTTTTCCTTAATTTTTATGTTGTTTTTCCTGGCGCTTGTGAAAACTATTGGGAATTTTAAATTTTGACCTCCCCAATGCACCAACGATATTCACTTTCCAATCGAACAAGATACTGAAGTCGAAAATCGAAGCATTATTTCGACTACTTATCGTGTACACAGACACAAAAAAAAAAAATAAAAAAAAAATAAAAAATAAAAAAAAAACACACATCATTGTAAAATCAATACATTCATCGTTTCACTCAGAATCTAATAAAAAAATGTTATGTGCAATTTTATGCTTTTGAATATTATGAAAATAATAAAAAAATAATAAAATATAATCTAAATGAAATTCCAATTAAAGGAAAAATTTTAATCATCGGGAACCAATCAGAACCAACTTATGTTTCTAAATGTCTACAATCACCAACTTGGTTAGAACTTTGTAAAATAGCTAATGATCAAATAATTACAAACAGTCCAGATTCATTCAAATATCTCTATAATATTAGTGTAATGAAAACTTTAGGAGATATTAAAATATGTTCTT